CCCAGCACCACCAGCAGCCTCTGGATGCCAGAGAGGGGAAACACAGGCAGCTCGGAGCAAACTCCACAATTGCCTCTGCTCAACAATTTGGACATCGTAACCTCCTAGCATCGAGACGGATTTTCAGTGCTGACTACTCAACACGGTGCTCGATGTAAAAACCAAATTACACAGCCAGAAGTGCCATTCCACTCTCTGGGGTACTACCACTCCTGACCCCAGGGTGAGCAGCGCCTGGGGGCTGCTGAGGTGTCAGAGGAGAGCTACAGCACAGTCAAATTCTGCAAAGGCAGAGAGCACAAATGCAGCAAGGCAAGGGAGCAGCTTGCCTTGGGCTAACTGCAGTGGAGACCATCTAAGCTCCCCCTTCCAGCATCCGCAGACCCTTTCGTAGGGATGACAGGAACTCCTGTACTGCTCTCTGGTTTTCAGGAATGGCCAATTTTTGCAGAGTTACTCAGTCTAAAATTTAACCTGATCCAGAACTCAGATTACTATCACCACTGCCTTGTTTTTCTTCTTCCTAGTAGAGGATAGAGCAACGAATGATGACAGGCTGTACTGAACGGCAGACAGCTCTGCTGCAGCAAGCTGGAAGGGTTTTTGCTGCGATGGGAAGGTATTCGTGTCCTTTGAGGACTCCCTTCTGCAGCAATTCAGTGATCAGTTCTGCAGTCTGGGTTTGTAGCAATGCGCAGTGGTTTCTGGTTTAGTTCTGGGCAAGCGCTCCTGAAGTTGCTCTTGGGGAAACTGTGGAGACCCTGTGTGAATGCATCCTGACTTGTGCTGAGCAGCTCAGAGTTCAGCGTAAATCCAATGTCACTCGGTCCAACTGGAACCTCAGTTTGCTGTCAGAGGTGCTGCTGAGAGCCTGCTCCAGTGCTCTGCTGCTCTGTCCCCAGGCCCTGTAGCCAGCAAGACCGGAGTGCCACCGGAGTGGTGAGCCCTCGCTCCAAATCACAAGCCCCATAAGAGTACACCCAGTTTAAGAAGCTCCCCCCGTTATTTACTTTACCTAATTATCCTTCACAGTTCAGCACATTTTCAGTTACGCAGATTAAGCTGATGAAGCCACACTCTAAATTGCACGCAGATGAACCAGAGGTGAATAAATCCACAAAGAAGAGCTCAGAGAGCTGAAACCAGCTAGCTCCCAGCAGGCGTGCTCATGCCCGGCCCCACAGCACTCGGGAGCGGTGCTCGGTACCGAGGACACCCGTCCTCAGCCCCTGGGTGCTGCACGCTCCTTGGGGGTACCGAACACGACCACATCCCACCACCACCCGTTGGTTCTTCAAGCTAAGGACCCGCCGTCCCCCAAGCTAAGCCCTCTGAGCTCAATGTCCACAGCCCAGAGTCCCGTTCGGGACAGACCAGCTCGGCTCTGCCAACAGCTGAGCGCTGGGGCACTGCACGATGCGGATCCGTTGGGACTTCCGACCGGCACAGCACGAACATAAAGGAATCAACAGACAGGCCTTAGAGCACTTGAAATACAGTCTGCAAACAAAACGTGACCCAACCCTTGTTACTGCAGATTTACCTCTCATTCACTTACAGTCACGCAGGTAAGGTATTTAGGTAATAACAAGTCTGGCGTACGGTGAAGCCGGACACCAGCAAGGCAACTTAAATAGCAGGTGCTCTAAGAGCTTGTGAAAGACGAGCTGAAATGTCAAGTAACTTGATTTGTCTTTTTTGCAACAAATTCATAACAGTGTTTTGTTTAGGCAGTCTTAGTGGCTGACGCAGGCCAGTCCAAAGCAAAGAGTTTAAGTTTTCCTTATTTACAGTGACATGGGGCACTTCTTCAGGAAAGTAAAAACTACACGGAACAGTCCAAATAGAAACTTGTACTTAATCATCTCTTGATGCTATTCAAAAGCAGCATATTGAATATAAGTGACAGTGGCATCAAGCAGAGACTGGGAAAGGATGGGCTGTCACAGCCGAGCTTTGGCAACTCCGGCCTCTGGAGGTTAAGCAGCGCTGGGGCCCGGACCCAGGCTTAGCTACCTCCTCCCGGGGACGCAGCCCCTGGCCGGACCAACACCCAGGAGGCCAAACACCTCCCCTGCTCCACTCCAAATCTTGCATTTTGGTGAAACCAACAAAGTGACAGAACTGACAGGATCTCAGGCCTGAATCACAGGGGGGCGGGAATCCCCAAAACATCAGTTCAGGTAAATGGATAGATGCCCTTGTGTGAATACTGCAAAATCAGCTTTACAGCGCCGGGGCAACACCACGTAGAAATGTTTAGTTTCCACATTTCGGAAAGCATAGAGATGGACCAAGTTCCACAAACTTCATTTGCCAACTGATCTACTAGATGAGTGGGTAAGGGAATAAACTAGATTTGCTCCCAGCCACGGCAGCCCGTCCTGCAAGGAGAACACGTTTGACTCTGACCGCTTGGCACCTTGTAAGCTTTGTACTGAAATATGTCCCCAAGCCGCAGAGATTTTAGTGGTGGTACTGGAATATATACTGGCTTTTACAGGAGATCCATACAGAAAAGAAGATGCACAAAACATGGAAACACTGCAGATTTGTCCGTCACCACAGTGTATTTAAGGTTCAGCTAAAGCCTTAAAAACCTGGGACCTGCATGGCTCAGCACTACCTCTCCAATGACTGTTGAGAGTGAACCAAGCGCTCGGCTGTCACAGGGACGACTTGCTGGGTGGGTACAGTTCTGTACGCAGAGGTGTAAGGTAGAGTCAAAAACGAGTTGCAGTCAAAAGTTCAGACCTCAATGACCTCATCGCGTGAGTATGCGGCATTCATAAAAGTGCCTGCGGGCTGAATAAACGCCAATTAAAAAATAACCTGGCATCAGTATCTTTGGTACCAAACTACCTTCACGCTGAGGGAAGCATGCTGTAAACGAGAAGGAAACGAGCAACGAAACCCTCCACAGAAATGGCAGGAACCAACCGTACCACCCGCCCTGTTCTGCGGTCACTCCGAGTGCCACAGCCTTAGGGATGCGTATGGGATGAGGAGCAGGCGTGCAAAAAAGAGAGGACAGAGTTTACACCCCTTGCATAGGAAGGCAGACGTAAACCCTGTCCTGCTTCCGCTCCACAGCTACCACCTCCCAAAACTTTGCTTTTTTTGAGTCAGAAGAGGGGCCTGGACGCAGCCGCTCCACTTGTGTGGTGTCAGCTGTTTTTCTGTACGGAGGGGCTCCAGGCAGTGCTCGCAGCAGCGGGAGGGGGCTGCAGTCCCCGTGGCCGCCCTGGCAGCCCCCCACGTCCTATGTCCTGTCTCCTGCTGGGCTCCGTCCCGCGCCGCCCACCCAGCCGCTACCCAAACCCAGAGCTGCCACCAGCGCTCACGCCGTACTTTAGACAACTGAAGCGAGCACTAAAAGGGCACTGACAGTTAACCTAAAATATGTTATAATATAAAGTTTAAATTGCATGTTAGGTAATAACAGAATGTGGTGTTTAAAACTGCAGTAACTTTCATCCACCCAACACACACGTTCCTTTAGAAACCGTACGGGTTTGCTGGGAGGCTGACGGAGGCAGACCACCACTAGATGGTAGATGAGCAGCAGTAATTCCACCGCCCGCTCTCCTCCCCAGAACGAACACCGCTGTGTACGTCCGCACAGGGCCCTCAGCGCGAAAGCCTCTCCTTGCACACACTCTTAAACGAGACTTTTGGAAAAGATGGGTGGCTGGGGAAATGCTGGGACTCCAGACGAGGAATAACCTCAGAGCCCCAACATTTATACACGCTGGGTTTATTTTTCCAATTTTACCACAGCTGCAAGCACTACAGTAGACAAACTTGCTTTTCTCCAGCAGAAAGACCATATTGATAAGCTCAGTAACCATTTACAGTTAGTCTGCAAAAAAACACACCAGGCTTTTAAAAGTAAGACAGCTTCACAGACTTTACAGCACGAGGGGCTGAAGTTTGTGCAGCTGCAACAATTGCCTTTGTCTATCTCGTACCTACTTTTAGTCAAACTGAGGTGGCTTAAAAGATAGGTCAGCTTTATTTCGTAAATGGTTTCCGTATTCATACAGATTCAGAGGGATTTTTGCCCCGGTGTATTTTTACCAACGAGTAGCAAACCTTTCTCTGCCGCCACACCCTGTAACTCAAAGCCACACGACTGCGCATCGCCGGGGCTGAGGCGAGCCCGCGCCGTTTCAGAGGGGTGCAGGATACCTCTGACAGCCCCTCACCAACACTGCCAAATCACTGCGACTGCTCCAGTGCCAGCTCACACAGTGCGGTAGTAAGGGCACAGGGTTATGACGTGAACTCACCTCAGAGGTGCTGCAGTACATCTTTATATCCACCTACTGAGAGCATGAAATCATGCATTAGGCGCATCGAAACGCTGGTGTCTTCACGGAAGCATCAGTAGCAAGACACTCAGCCCAGCATCTAACGTACTCCTGTCTGAACTTTGCAGTCAAATAAACAACCACACAGCTTACCCTCAGCATGGCCATCACTGCACAGCGAAACCATTAGGTACAACTGAACACTTAAACCTCTGTACCGTATCTTTCACGCCACACTGCTCTACAAATATTACCACGTTCTGCAAGGCTTCCACAGGCAAAGTGTTTTGCACTGAATCAACACTACTTCAAAATACACAGGCTCTTTAAAGAGACCTTTCAGCTTGGAAGGAAACACAGCCAGACCCTGCTGAGGCTGGTAAAATCCGACAAGACCACACGACAAGCTGGTGTATCTGCAGGGTGCAATAAACTGCCCTTGAAAACGTACTTGAACAGCTTCGCTGCCAAAACTTTCCTTGATACTAACGCATAAAGAAGAAATGATTTGACATTAGCATCCATAAGAGAATATATTAAAGGAAATAATTGCTGTCAGCATATTTTAGCAATAACAAGCTGCAATAGCCATTAGTATTCAGGTTATTTTGCATTCTTTTGCATTAATAAAGACAAAAGCTGATAGATACATACACAGCTTCTAAAGGATTTTGCTTTCTTTCTTACCTCTTCCTTTTTCTCTTCAGCACCAGAGGCTAAATTGAGGCTCAGCTGAGAATGGCTGCTTATGCCACTGTCTTCGTTTCCATCATCATAGTACACAGTTTGCACCGAGTCCTGGAAGCAAACTGGATTCCTGCCCAGCTTCAGCCCCGGTACCTCGACTCTCTCCTCGCTCTCCGATGAGCTCAGTGACAACGTGCTGAGATGGTTTGGGCACTGGAAATTCATATTGCACTTGACCTTCTCTGCAGCGGGACTTTGAGGCTTTGGAGTAGTCGGTCTGACCGGAACGTGAGGGTTTTCAGCTTCATACGTAAACTGTTGGGTAGCTTTTGGTTCATCTGAGTCTGAATAAAACACTTCATTGGAAAATGGACTAATGTCATTCAGCGTGGGCGATAAGCTGTCGGAGTCTGGGACACCTGACGACATCCTGAGGCTTTTGTCTTCAGCAACAGCCACATTCATTTCAGTCTCTTTATCCCGAGCAACCGTGGGGCTTTGCAGGCAAGGTGTTCCCGGCAAGGAAGAGTCTGGAGTAGGTAGCGGGGAGGTGCATCTCTTTCTGTCGTGATCTGTGCTGCTAGAAACCCTGCGGGAGTAGTCATCGTGCAGTCTGCTGTTTGACCTTGCTCTCTGGGACTGCTCGCTGGGAGAAGGAGCCGTGCTTTTAGGGCCATCCTTCTTCCATGCAGCATCCGTAACGTTACTGACAAGTTTCAAAACTCGGTCAAAATCCTTTGCCCTGATAGGGCTCTTCCATCGCTTGGATCTCCTCTCAGGGTTCCCACCGGTTTTGTCCGAGTCGGCAGAAGTAACACTCACGGTCCTTGTCGGCATCTGTTTTTCATTCGCAACCTTGAGGTCGGTAAGGTTTGAGGTGGACTTCCGTTTGAATGAGCTTTTTTTCAGAAAGTTCAAATTATCTGAACTTTTGCTTCTCCGATAAATGATCCTGTTGTTTTCAGAGTCTTTCACCAAAATCTCACAGATCTTTGGCTCTGCGATGACAGGTGATGTTGGCCTAGTGCAGTTGTGATGACTCCGAACTTTATCCGCGTCCAGCAAGTTTATGCGGCCAGCACCATAAGCCCGCCTGATGCTGCGTGAGCGATGAGTATTCCTCAGGAAACACTCATCGCTCTCCTCCGCATCGGAGCAGTCAGAAGCTAAACCATCCACTGCATTCTGGAAATCATGCAGAGGCCCCGAATAGGAATACCGGTTAGCCTGAACTCGCACCACTGCCCCGTTTGAACCATGTTTGCCTAGGCCGTTCTCATTTAAGATGTCTGAGCATTCCCGTGTTTGAATTCCATGGAGAACTGAAGATTTCAACTTCTTGAAAGATCCCATTTTTCTGATGGAAGACAAAGCGTTCCACGTGGACGAGTTGCCCATCAAAACCAGAGAACGAGGCCTGTCAGAGCTGGAATTAGCCCGCTTCCGAGGGGTGGTGAAAAAGCGCATGATTTTGGAAGGGCTGAGTTTATCCTCTTGAATTTCCTCCTCGTGACTGTTGCTGGTGCCGTATCCCCCATTATGGCTGACACAGGTAGTCTGGTTTTGGGGCTCTTTATTATCCATAACTATACAAGTAACGGTGGTGCCATTTCCACAGCCGTCCGGAAACGTCGTCATGCTCTCGATGCTGTACGCACGGAGACGGAAGCTGGGGCAGCTCAAAGCGGCACTGCCGTCTCCACCAGCCGACCTCCCTGCCTCTCCTCCATCCGCCGCACCTTGGTTCGCCTTGCTTTCGCACCGGCGGGGTGAGCCCAGCTCCTCAGGCTGCACCGCCTGCATCAGGAAAAGAAAAGCAACTGTTAGAGAAACTTCCTTATAAAGCCCCCAACTAAAACAAGGTTGAGCCCCGTTGTAGGAAATAAAGACGCATACGAAACGAAGGAGGTCTTTTTGGCTGAACAAAGGTGTGTTGCAGTGGTGAGGAGAAGGCATTCGTAACTCCCTCAAAGTATAATTGCATGCATTAGCGATTCAAGAGACTGGAATAGTTGCAATATGTATTTGTGTCTCTAATGCTTAATAAGCTAATAAATTCAGTATGACTACCACACCTACCTTACAACAATAAATATAATCCACACACAGAGAGAGAGAAACCCCCAACAACAGCAATCCAGTCTTCCTCCTCACAGTGCTCAGCGCTGAGCCCTAAGACACATGAGAAGTTTTCATCCAAAAAAGCACGTATGTCCATCAAGTGCCTCCTAATCCTCAAACAGCAGGCAAAGAAGAGGAAAACGTGTATGTTTTTTCCTACGGTTGCTGCTGTCGGAAGGCTGTGTGACACTCCACTGCCTTGGCTGTCCCCCAGCAGGCAAACCTAACGGCACATGAAGCGCACCGCACACTATTTTTCCCTAGCCAAAGAAAACAAGATTCAGGAGTGCGTAAAGCCAGAAGCCAGCCGATGCTGTCTGACAGCGCGACGAAAACTTGAGTTTGGAAGCGAGCGGAGTCTCTGTGACCGGGAGGTGCAATGTAAGGGATCTCCCCCCCGCGAGTGGAGCGTGGGAGGTCCGGCAGCCCGACCCCCTTCGGGGTCGGGAAGGCTGCGTGGGGACCGCCGGCCGAGCGCTCCCT